TGCACTGCCGTTCTGCGCCGTCTTTTTCGCTGACATTTGTGTTTGCGCGTGCGCAGTGTGAGAAACTGCAGTGACACCCTCACGACCAAGCGATTGATGATCGGGAGCTGGTCGTGAGGTGTTAATCGCTTCTTGTTACCCCACGTATACTACACGATGCACGACGCACGAAGAAGGCCAAAATCGGGTCGATCGCCAAAACGGTCGCACGACTCAAAAATCGGCTCAAAATGGGCCAAAAATCGCACAGTGTGAGCCCGACATTACAGATGCGCTTCCCAACCCCCTGAGCCACGGTCGCCCCAACGATGGTCACCTCTCAACCGGGAAGCGTCTTCAATTCTAAGAGCAAATGTGGAGAGTCCCCAATTTTAAGCCCAAGGTGTGAAAACGGGCTTAAAATTACTGAGGTCAATCCTGGGCCATTTGACCTCAGTAAATCACATGATAGAGTGGGGCTAGGTTTCACCCACACCAGTTTTCCCACCTTGGCTTATGTGATTAGACAGAGGATCAATACGGGGTCCATGACCCTCTTGGGGACACTCCCATAGGGCTTAAAATCTGGGACTCTCCACGTTTGCGCTTAGAACTGAAGAAGCTTGGGCTTTCTTTAAGTTATTAAAAACTCGGCCATGTGGAGCTGAGCTACCCAGATAAGTCCTTTATACACCCACGACGTAGCTGTTATGTTCATTACCGAATAACTAGGATAAACCTTGTTGTAGGACAAAAACAGGAGAGATGGTTCAACAAAAAGAGTCACTAATGTGTGTGATGTACACACAGTATGCTTAGTGTTTACAGTTTAACACTGAAGGGCTGCTTAAACTGTTGTAGCTCACTGCCAGGAGAGAGAAAAGGTGGATGTCAGCTGGAGCCATCCAAAGGCCCAATCCAAAGAGGGCAAACTCTAATGGGCCAATCACAGGACTCCACCTGTCTCAGCATTAAACACAGACTCACACACTGTCTGGAGAAGCACACCTTACTTTTTTATGTCAACATTAGCTAAGTTGTTGCCATTTCACTCAGCTGTACAGTGGATAAGCTGGTTTCTCAGCTACGGCTACTTTGAGTAGTCAAATTGAATAGAAAAGCGCCAGCCTGTTTATTTGGACTTTAATGATAACAACAACTACATGGATTACAAACAGTTTTATTCTGACAAAAAAACTCATTAGCATAGGAGGAGGTCCTAATGCATTATATAAGTGTGTATCCCATAGGAGCTCTAATGAATAGTGCACTCTCCCGGTCCTCACACACAGTTCCCCAACAAAACGCTTCATTGTAGCGTTACACATGACAGAATCCAAACAACAAGGAGAAGGCAGCACTCGTGCCAGCAAAGACAATCCC